CAACAAAGCTCTCAGAAATATTTGATTAATAAGTAACCGAGCTTGAAGGAAAAATGAGCATTCAAAGAAATTATTTTGCTGAAAAGAAAAATCACAAAAATCATAAAATCATTTACTGATGGCTGTAACTATATGACAGAAATGTTCTTTAAAATACTTTAATAAAAAACACTCTGTAGATTTAACAAATCTGCTATACAATGGCGTTACTGGAATGGACATATCCCAAAAATACCACCGCACAGAGTTATATAAATATTCTAGCAATGAGTGTCAGTAAGAAAGTCATTTTGTCTTGAATTCTGTATATGCTCTCAACACACTATTGAGTTCAGCAAATTATGAAAACTCACAGAAGGCACACTGAGATAATGAAGACATTGGGAGAGATGTTACTAAACAAAGCATGTTCCTCACTTCCCATCAGCTCGAGGCTGGAAGTGCTCAGAAGCCGATGCCCAAAACGAGCTGTTAACTAACTTTGGATTCACTAAGAAGAGATCTAGGTAGACTATCAGCAACAATTTAGGTGCAATGTTTTAAATTTTTTATCTTTTCATTGTGGTCGAAGTGAGCGGCAAAATTTTAAAAGAATGCACAAGCTGATAGAAAGCAGTGGAACAAGTGATCTTTTGCTGCACAAGCAATAGTCCAAATGCTTCTAACATGAAGGCCTGATGGACTACAACATGTTTCAGCAAGTGGTTCTCTCTAAACTGATGAGTCTAGAAAGTTCTCTGGGATTAAGAAGTTTTCAAGAACGTTACATCAGCCATGTTTCATTGCTTCATTTAATATGTTGAATGTGTCAAAAAATTCCATATCACGAATACAGGATGAATGATTACTACACACTGGAGGGAAAGAGGACATAAATGAACATATCTTAAAGAAAAAAAATAAAATTATCAGAAAATGTTCCTTGTGTATCCTCATGCTTGCTTTTTTTTTTTTTTTGCCGCATTGCTTCTGCTTTCTAGTTTGGACCACACTGATTTACTGCCAAAAACATTTTAACATTAACATATACTCAGGAGTGACTCCAAATATAGCTCAGTATTGGTTTGTTTATTCTGGTTTTGGCCAATTATATAAGTAACACATTTTCTAATCAACTGCCTTTCATCAAGCTATTTTTTGAGAGAGAGAGAGGGAGACAGAGACAGAGACAGAGAGACAGACAGAGAGAGAGACAGAGAGAGAGAGAGAGAGAGAGAGAGAGACAGAGAGAGAGAGAGAGAGAGGAAGAGAGAGTTTGCATGTGCACGCTTGAATGGGTATGATCTGTGGGGTGCAGGTCTTGGTTCTTGTGTAGGCCAATGCAATTTGTCACTGTATCTCCCTTAATCCCTTCTCTACCTTCTCTTATGAGACAGTGTCTCTCACTGAACCTGAAACACACCAATTCCCCTAGATTAGCTGGCCACACAGGGGCATAGCTGTACCAGCCTGACCACTGCCAGGGTTACTTCCATGCCTGCATTTGATTAGAGTTCTGACCACCTGGACTCTGGCTATCTATCCTGCTTACAAGGCAAGCACTATACACACCGATCCATCTCCTCATCGCTGTGGTTAAATTATTTCTGTTCCTTATCTTCTGAGACTAGCCAGATTGTTTCAAGTAATGCATTGTGTCATTTAAAGGATGAAATTGCTTTAAATAAAATGCCTATAATAAAAACACACACCCTAAGAATCCTTATGACAAAAGTGCAATGTCATTGCTAATCTCCAGAGAATGTCTTTTTCCCTTTTTAAATTGGCTTCTAAATTGCCGAAAGCAATTATTAACTTCAGTTAAAAGTTAAATTTGTGTTTTAGGATTTCTATTAATCCAATAAAATGTAAGATGAAGCTAAACTAAAGTGAAAATGTTCAGGTAAATCTAGGAAATCTATCTGTTTCCAATATACACAGTTTTGCTGTGAGCATGAAATCCTCAACTCTGTAATATAAGTAGGAAAACACAGGTCAGGCAGCGTTTGTGACTAAGGAAGTATTGATAGATGGTATCAGCATGATACCAGTTGTTGTAAGGTCCAGTTGAGTAAACAGATCATCTTGAACTCTTTGGACGTTTTTCTATGTGTTAATAAAAAATATGTGACTCGTTTAGATTGCCATGTCATTTTCCTTGTATGCAAACACCTCGCATCTTTTTCTTTAGTATAGCTTAAAAAACACTATCAGAGGTATAGTACTCAGAGGGATCAGCATAGACAATGATCTAATTTATATTTTTTATCTCATGTTGACCTTTGCTCATCATTATTATATAAATTACAGTGGTTACCTCAGGAGACATTTTTGGAAACTTTAAAAAATTACTAAATATATAGCTACTTTCCTAAACAACAAATTATATTACTCTCATTATAAAACTAAATGCATAGTTAACAAAAGTAAAACAGCAATATCAATAATTATTTAAACATTCTGATAGGCAAGTAATTGGCATGAATTTTTGGGGTTTTAATCATATGATGGACGAGGTTTTTAATTTAGAATATGAGAATGTTTCCATTCATGATGATAAATGGCTCAGTATTAAAACCCCTCAGCCTATGATGGAGCAACCTGAGTGTATAGTGTGTACTATTGGACTAACATTAAAATTGACGGTGTCTATTAAGTCTATGTCAAGATATAACTTTAAGGGTGATTGTCTGAATCTAACATGACATAAATCACTAAAATATTGTTATTTTTAAAAAGGAGAAACTCATACATACTCAAAATTCCAGGGTAAATTAAGTACATGATAAATAAAAACGGCCTTTTTTTTTCCTATTTATTCTCTACTTAGGTCACACTTCATTCCAAACACTGAGTATTTGCAACAATATTAGTTGGAAAAAATCCATAGTGAAAAATATGTGTAATTAGAGACTAATTTGATTCAACAGACATGTTTAATCAATATAGGACCAAATTTGACTTTACAAGGTACAATAATAGATTTTTTATTTGATTATGCTAACACAACTACGTATGAAACAAATGGCCCCTAAATTCAAACTTCTAAATGAGAATATTAGATTCTTACAAAATAGAAAATTTTGCAATAAAATAGAGATAGTGTTGTTACTAATAAAAAATATGATTACTATAATCATTATTAAAAGCAAAAATCAGTTAAGAAGATCTTTTTTTAGCTATAACAAGTTCCAGGTTTAAATAGAAGTATAATTTGCCAAACATTGTATTCACAAAATTATAAAAAAGAGAGTTGCTTTTCCATTTTCTGTGGATTGTCTTAACCTGACAATATGTCCTTAAAGGAAATATTAGTATTCATTAAAAGTATATACTTTTTATTCCTTAGAATCACATATCTTTTAATTTTCCCTTTTAAAATTGCTAATAATGGTTTTCTCTAAAACATATCCTTAAAGTTACACAAAACAAGGTGGCACTATTCATTTTATTTTGGAAACATTTTATTTGTAAGAACAATTTCAAATCTATAACTCAGTTTAAGAAGACCTCATCATGGTCTGCTTTATAAAATTTGACTTTTGCTCTCTTTGAAAAAGCGAGAATGTATGACTATGTCTAATTTTGGATTTTGGACTCCCAATAATTTATGTATTTATGTTTTATATAGTATAAATAAAATTAAGGCTAATTTTGAATCAGTGATTCAAAAAAGGCATAATTATCAAACTCTGTGATACTAAAGTGGTGTATCCTCTGGAGTTACAGTCTTTCCTTAAAATTTAAGAACCTGAACACAGTCTTTCACTTAAAAAAAAAAGATCACTATTATCATCACTATTTATGAATCTGATGAGGACCTCAGTGGAACACTTGCCTGCTCTTATTGTCAAACATTAGAAACCATGACATCAATAATTTATTATGTGATTTTTGAATTACACACTCTTAATATATACATATATATGCTATATATTATGCATACTCAGTTTGTTTTCTTTTCTTTAAGTTTTTTAAATCTTTCTTATTTTACCAGCTTCAATAAAAATAATACATCTCCAATACTTCTCAATCTTTATTCAGTTTTATGAGCCAATGAATATTTTCTTGATACTCAAAGATGAAAAAATATATCAAATGCAATAGAATTTTCAATACCAGGTAGATTTCGATTTTAGATTGAGTTGCCATGGATTTTTAACCTCGATCGAGTATTACTTATGTGGCTTAACCGAAATTGAATTATAAATAGTATTTATCCTTTAGCAAAAAGGAGACGATGTTATGGAGCAGATATTAAATGGAATAGTTGCATTACTGAGGTCTTCAAAGGAAAGCTATCATAGAAACTCCAAGCATTTTCACTGTCATATGACTGTATAGGATGATCCACAATACATGTCTATATTGAACTAAGGGCCATAATGTCTGTTGTCTCAACGCTACAAGATTACTGGTCACTCTGTCACGCAGTATCTCCAACTCTGATTACGGACCTGAGTCCTTACCAGCAAACCTCTTAATCTCTAGTGAAAGCTCAGTATGAAGTATATACAACAACACTGCTCTCAAAATTTGGTCTAATACGTTTAACTTCATTCTGATAAACCACAGTTAGCTGATGATACCAGCCAATATCATCAGGAAACATGAGACTAGGCCAGGAGTCATAACTCAGCGGTAGAGTGCTTGTCTGATATGCACAAGTCTCTGAGTTCAATACCCAGAATGCCTTACACCCCCCTCCAAAGGACTCTGACTTTGATTGGACCTTCAAATTACACAGAAATCAAGTAAACAAGGGTTCCACACTCTAGGGAAATATAGAACATCTGAAAATATTTTTTCATAAAAACCTAGCCTGTGTCTTTTAAACATAGCCCTAACAACAGAGCCCACCTTCCTGCTAACTGTTTCAGTTTTCCATCCTCAAGTACTGCTTAAAACTCAAAGCAATTTTCATCATCGTTTCTAAGAACTCACAGTTTTCAGCAATAAGAATGTGGACCTTTACTTCTTAAGAGGAACCACTTTGATGTAAACTTTTGTGTGATACTTACTCAAATATGGTGGTTTGTAAGGCGCTCGTGAACTAGACAGCAATCCGTCCAGCTCCTTCCTCTCCAGGGTGCCATGCAGGGCCTTCTCTTTGCCGAAGGTGGAGAAGGACCGCTCTGCTCCAGGCTGGGCTTCGGGAGGTTCAAAGACCTCGGTGTCTGGAACTGAGTCCATGCCGGGGACATGCAGATTGCTGCGGTAATCTGCAGCCTGACGTCCATCCGAAGGGACAAATGAAGGCATCCAGCATCGGTCGGAGTGGCCCAGCGCTTTACATTCCTCAGTGCAGTTAGAGAAGAGATCCATACCTGGAAGAAGAGAAAACCGTAGAGAGAAAAAGGGAAGAGACAAGAAACTCCAGATGTAGTCACCATGGGCAGCCATACAGTGGGGAAAAGTCTAGAGGTGATGTATTGATAGGGAAAAACATTTTACTAAGCAAATTTTCTCTTAATCTGATGAAAACAAATAATAATAATAATATCATTTGCCCTATCATTTAAAACAGGATACATGATTGGCAAACGTAAAAGCTCTGACTCAATGGCAAAAAAGTTGTAGAAACAGTTTTTAAACTCAGAATACTAGTGGAAAAGAAACAATGCTGGCTGCCAACTTTTTAAAAGTTGAGGAAAAGAGTGAATGGACAAAGCATATTTGAAAACTCTCTCATGGACTGAAAATAGAGAGAAACCCAAGCTACCTGGGCTTCTTAAACTACGTCCTCTAACAAAGCATCTTCTGATGTTCCTACAAACACAGAAAGGGTATGCCAAGCTCTGATCACAGTCAGACAACAGACTTTAGATTTTAAATGGAAAGTAAAATTCAACAGTAACTCAGCCCAAATTCACAAATGGCCAATGGCCCGAATTCTGTCCATTTTGTACATAGGAAACAGTAAGGTTCTTACTTTCCTGGGAAATGAGTTCCTAAAGGTATCTGTCATTGGAACTCAGGCAGTCTATATGCCTATACACTGCTTATACTTACCCCCTTGCACAAACCAAAACAAATGACGATAATTAGGGCAGCCACAGTAACCGAAAGCACTGGGAAACTGCTCAAGATAATATTGATATATTCCTTAGTGCTCATCTGTACTGTAAATGTTGGTCCTAGTCAGCACAACTTATATGTACCCAGATTGAAAATGACACTACAAATTTTATCACATTCATTAGACAAACAAGACTATTAAATGTTACCTGGTTGTGACCAAGAAAGTCCATCTAGTTTTTGAATCATGTACAAAAATTTGTGGGTATTGTATATGTACAAATATGTACATATACATATGTGTGTGTGTCTCCAGATGTGTGTAGATGTGCAAGTAACTAGTTGTATATGCACATCATTTCTCAGCCGTTACCCACTGTCTTTTATTTGTTGTCTTTTGAGATGGAGTCTGTCATTGACCTGGACTTTGCCAAGTAAGCTGTGCCATCTGGTCAGTGAGCACTGAGGTTCTGTCTGTCTACATTTCCCCAGCAGTGGGATGGCAAGTGCATGCTTCCAGACCCAAACCAGCTACCTGTACTTAGGTACTTGATCTCTAGTCTCCAGGATTCAAAGACAAGCACTTGGCTGACTCATTTATCTCAATAGTCCAAGAATTTTTGATAGCTATGATATTTATCTATTTTTTTATTTATTGAGCTATATATTTTTCTCTGCTCCTCTCCCTCTTTGGCCTCTCCCCTTCTAGCCTCTCCCATGAATTATTATACGTTGGCCTCAAGCAACTTGTAAGAATTGAACTCAGGGCCTCTGGAGGAGCAGCTGGTGCTTTTGATTTCTAAGTCATACCTCCAGCTCCATTGTTTGTATCATTTGTTCTACTTTTTGAAACAGGGATTCACTATACAACCCAAGCTGACCTAGAAATAGCTAAGTAGCTTAGGGTAGCTTGAAATTCTTAATTTTCATGCCTTCGACACCCAAATACAGTCAACCGTCACCATGCCCACCCAACCTGATACTCACTTGGTATAGAGGATAACACAGAAAAGAATGTAAAGAAATATATCGTTCCAATGCTTTTCTAAACATGCTAGTATATTGACTGAATGTTTTAAATATTGGCGAATCTTCCTAGTGTTTTAAATTTATATCTATTTTCGTGTGTGTGTGTGTGTGTGTGTGTGTGTGTGTGTGTGTGTACACATACTATATAGCACATGTGTGTGGGTCAGGTCAGGTCACAACTTGCATGGGTGGTTTCTCTCCTTCCACTATGTGGTTACTAGGGATGAAATTCAGTTCATCGGGTTGAGTTCCAAGGACCTTTCCCCACTGAACCATCTGGTAAGCACAATTTTGATTAATTTCAAATAACTAAAGCATAATTAATTTATATCATAAAGTCTTTCAAATGTATGAAAAGCTGGATTTTAAAACTAACATAGAAATTTATTTAATGAGTACACTTGACTCTTAATAGCCCAAATATCTAGAAGTCTCACGTTCTCAAAGGAAAATGTAATGCTTCAACTGATTTACTATTACACACTGATTTAAGTGAAAATGTTTATAGAAAACAATATTTCAAAAAAATAAAACTTGTAGAATCTGTGCAAGTTTTTTTTTGAGTTAATGGGCATTAACTATAAAAAAAGTTACCTTTTGAGGAAACGACGCCAAGGTATTTACTGTCTATTAATCCCACTAAATAGCGACTTCATTTTAAACAAACCTACGCATGATGCTAAACCATCCTTCGCTGTAACATTCTATTGATAACTGCCATGGACGAGCCTGAAGGTGAGATTACTAGTGAGTAATCTCCAGAGAGATTAAATACTGAAACCAGAAGTACAAGATGTGACTGGAAACAGAATGAAAATCCTGGAGATGTTTCACTACAATCTAGACACATCTGCAAGAAGACAGGAGCGCTAAAAGAGAAAGAGAACATTCCTGATGAGCATGTATTCATACGGTATACAGGCAACATCCCTGGCACGAGACTTGAGTTTCGATCCACTGGTGGTTATCTTTTATCTGTTTTATTTAGTGATGGGAGAAAGAAGGCTCCTGTATATCATATAAATCACATTTAAGAAAAAATGATTATGCATAATTATTTTAAAAGTAAATCTGAGAAAATAAATTTGAAGAATTATGGATCTTAAGTTCAAATTATTAGTGTAGAATTGTTATATTTCATCATGGAAAGATAAATACTAATGAAAGGTTTTCCAGTTCCTAACTTTTTCTTCATATGATTGATGCATATCATTTTAAATGGGAAAATATGATCAAACATATGAAAATCCAGCCATTCACAACTTTTAAGTATTTACGTACAAGTATTCACTGTAATTCAGATTACTGTGACCTCACTAATATACCAATATGCCAGAGTTAAGATAGCTCTTGATGTTATAAATTATTTTATATTTAGTTATATATTTAATTGTACATATTTTTATCTTGAAAACTGACAACTTTTTCTATGTAATAAATTTTTCTATATAACAAATGCTATGAATTTATTCATAAATAATTCTAAATAAATAAATTAATTCATAAACACTTCTAAATAAATAAGTGTTCATAGCCTGTTGCTAACAAAAATTAAGGATCACTGAAAGCTTGGTACAAAACAGTCTCATCTGACAACAGAGAAATTTGGTAAGCAATGCTTTAAAAAGGTTATGAAGCTATAGAGTGAGACTTTCTTGGCAATATTATATATCATTGTATATAACTGGAATAGAAGGTGAAGTGTCTGGAATAGGGCCTGAGTATTTTATTTCACCAGTTTTATCAATAAAACAAGTGGATATATTTCTTATGATGAAAAATCAGTTACAAAATGAAAATGAAAACCACAGCATAATCAATAAACTTCAAATAAGAAACAGAGAAATTAATGGAAAATAGACTTTTTTCATTTGTCACTTAGTGAAATAGTTGGAGAATTAAATAAATGTATCCCATTAAGCATTCTCACACAGGGGAGCAACGAGATGGCTAACAATGTTCTTTTATCATTCATCATTAGTCACATTGACTGTGTAACTTTAATTACCAAATACGTGGAAGGGTCTTTTACTTTTTGTGAAAACGTGACCACGTAACAGACAAGATGCCAATTCCATTACCTGTGATGCAACTCAGAGCATCCACCTTGTTCTCACTACTTCTTACGGCTCCAATTGAAGGTTCAAGATTTAATAAGTTCAACATAATATTCTCTTTTTGAATGCATTTATGATTAAGCTTATGTCATGTATGGAGATGTGAAAAACATAGGACAATTTTTTTAAAAAAAATTTATGACATCTACAAAGTGTCTCAAGATATGTAATTTTACTTGCAGTTATTATTTCTGGTCATTTCTTGCTGGTCCTCAGGAATATTCTGCAATTATGACAGCTGATATAAGAAACTGACTTTATTGCAAAGATAGACACAGATAAATTTAATATACATGAATCTATATTTTAGACAATAGCTATTGGCGGTTCTGTTGAGAAATGCTATTATGAAGAAAATTAGAAGTGTATCCAAATTGTGTTCTTTTCTGATAATAATATAAGACAATTCTTCTTTCTAATCAAACCTTTAGTGTGTGTGTTAAAAACAAATTTAAAGCAAACAAACTAATTTTTGAGAACATTTCTAGCCACCCTTCAAAGTATTCAAAAGTACTTCATATTAACAACACTTATAAGGTAGAGGTAATTTATAAGACTATTCCAGGGTGAGATATTTATCATTATTCATTAACATATAAAACACACATCATAAACCTATCCCTTCCTATCAGCTTTCAAACAACTTGTGTTCTCCATTTTCTCTCAATATGTTCTCGTCTCCATTTTCTCAGTTATAAGCATCCTCAGTTTATCAGATTGTAGCTCATAGCTCACCAGAAGCCAAAGCAAGCTTTAGCAAACAGCTGGAGTGAATCCCAGGTATTTATCAGTCAAGGCTTTTGTTATCACTACCTGAAATCTTAGTAGCAATAAGAAAATGATATTCATAGTTCACGGAAAATAAGATTTCTCTTGCAAAAGTTTTAGCTAGTCAATGGTTTAATGTAATACATGACATATATATTTTACTTACTATCTTGAAAAAATGACAATTCTAGTTATTTTATTTTTAAATTTATATCCAACAGTTTACCATGCATGATGAATAAATGTCTTAAATTCTTTTAACAAAATATTGTAAGACAAATCTGGCAAGTTTTAGTTGTTGTAAGTAATGACATTATCTGAAATTCTCCCTTTTAGCATACCTTTTGAAAGGGGAAGGCAATAAAATAAATTCACAACTCATTGTCATATTTTATGAGCATAGACATTTAATAAAGACCTGTTTCTTACAACTAAAGACATCTATGTAAATATACTTTAGTAAGTTTTAAAATCATATAGCTAAGATGCTATATCCCTATTCGAAGACAGAAAAATATATCTTTTAAAATACTGACTTACTAAAGAAGCTTGAAAATACGCTTTATTAAATTAGTTTTCGGTCCTTGGACTGTAGGTAATCAGTTTTCCCTTTGTGATGGCTTATTCAAGCCTTTACCACATCTCCCTGGACCCCTGCCATATCTAACCGATACATCAATAGTGTAGTGAAAAAAAAGCAGAAAGCACCTTGACAAGGCTATAAAAAGCAAACTGATATGGAGCAGTGGTCAAACCCAGGAATTTTGTGCATGGAGCCAGGTGCAGTGGCCAACTGAGAAAGCTTATGTGACTCTCTGCAGCTGCCTACTTGTCGGCAGCCTTTCTGTGAAGAAGGCTTGAGGCTGCTGTAAGCTTAGACAGCAAAAGAGCAGGAAGGAGAAAAATAAAGAAGACAGGAAACAACTCAAGAAAGAATAGATAGATGTACTGTGCAAATAAATAAGAATAAAGTAAGGTTAACCTAGAAAAATTGAGGAAGTAAAGCAAAAGATGGGAAATCTGAGCAGGTGAAACAGTAAGTTACATTGTGCACAGGCAAGAGGCACAATCTAAAAGAGAGAATTCAGAGTTTTTATTTTTTTTTCCACTGTTGCTCTGATCTTATTGCATTTTCTCCTATCAAGTTTAGTGAGATTTGTTTAATTACCTCATTTTGCACATTTAAAAGTTCAACCTAAGTTGTCTTTAACCAAAAAATAAATCATACTTTTTGGGGGAGCAAACTTCACTTCTGAAATATCCTTGCTACCTGCTGAAAGGTTTATTACACAAAACAGCAGTATGAACTAAAAAACGTCACTTAGTAAAAGGCAGTTTAATTTTATGCATTCAGATTTTCACACTAAAAACACTCAGAATCCTTCTTACTATGAAATGAAGCCTATGACAACTGATCAATTCCACACGAAGGTGCAATTACTTCTCCCTGTAAGTGCTTTCTTACAACTGCAAAACAGCAATTATTGTGCCCAGTATATTGTGTCTACCCTGGGACCACTGAGCTGCAGAAGTGGAGTGGTAATTCTATAACCCTTTTACACATTCAACAGCTTAGCTATGGGGGCAAAAAGTTCAGCACTTTGATAACAAAAACTAGAAACTGCTTTGCCTATTTAAACTGTATTGCAGAACACATTTTTTTTTCTTTTTCTCCTTTTGCATTTTAATGGTCCTTAAAAGGATCTGGAATCCCAAGTTCTTTGGAAGAATCATTAACAAAATGGCAACACTGTTTGTGTGAAATGAAATAGCTCCCAGGAAGACATGGTAACAGGAATATCTAACAAATTTAGTCTTCCTTGAGAAGGTTTCTCCTCTCCTCTCACTTTGCATTGGTTATTAGGTTCATTGTGTACGTCTAAGTGACTAGACTAAAATGCTCACAGAGACTGGGGTGCTACTTAAAGAAAAAGAAAGCAAAACACAAAAGGGAGTGGGTGGGAAAGAAATAAAATGCATGCAAAGTAACATGTAGCAGAATTCTCTTTCTTGTGTCAAACGTTTTATTGTAAAAAAAGACTGGAGTTAAATTGGAAACTCCGGGAAAATAGAAATGAATAGTTCTAAATGTACAGTTTTTAAATGATAACAATAAATCATATACCACATATAGGGCAAAAATGAAAGGGACTTTGTACTCACATATAAACTGCTGGCAAGGTCTGGTTTGTTGTCAGGATCCCAGACACTAAATAGATGCTCTGTTCACTTAGCGTGAAGGCCCGCAAGGGGCAGGGACCTCCGGGGATTCTTGGCAGTTCTCAAGTCTCATTAGGTCTGCATATTAATGACTTGCAGCAATATAAAGAGACCCTTGAGCAGTCTTTTTTTTCCTTTCCTCCTGCCCGGGTTTCCCAAGACTAAGCAGCCATAGACAGAGCCCACATTAGCCAACCGAGAGTCTTGTAGCAGCCACTGCTGCCAGGTCCTGCGGGGTGTGCATTGCCCTTTGACACACTGGCTCAGCCCCATTCCCAGGGATACCGAGTGTTTTAAGGAATGAGTACTCTCTAGGACTAATATTACCCTGAAAATAAGGAACTCCATCACTTTATAGCATAAACCGAGGTCAAGGATCAAGAGAGCTAAGTGTCACCGAGAGGTAGCTCAGTGATGGATATTTTTCAGATGTTTCAAGAAGTTCCCGGGCTTTCCACCTCCCCATGTGCCAAATAAACACAGAATTAGGAAGAAGGAGAACAGAAAATATCTTTCATGGGTGAAATTCAAATGGAAGTAGAGGAAGGCAAACAATTTTATGAAATTGCTTTTGTGTCAAAGTAGACAGTTTAGTTCCTATGAGTTCTTTTAGTAATAGTAATTGCTATTAGACTATCATGCACATCCTTAAAGGTCAAACTCATATAGAGAATCAAGAAGTAAAATTCAATTTAAAAGTTACATTATATTAAGCTCCCACTTGTGGCCTTTAGTTACCACAAAGGTTAACCTACGTAGACAAATGCTGGAGTTCAAAATTTAATACTTGTCAAAATACAAAGAGATCGAAGAGGCTTCAACATTTCTAATTACCAAATGTCTTTTACTAATGTTCTGAATCCCAGGGACTCAGGGTTGAAAACTAGATTTTCAACCTATTTGTGACTCTTACACACCATCATTTCTCAGGGCATATTTGGTATGTAAAATGTATTTCTCTGAAAGGCATGGGGCTTGAATTCTAGCGCCCAGCCATATATTTATTTTCTCTTGCCCTTTTGGCATTCAATGAGCTAACTTGTCTCAGTTCCCTCCTTCATAAATAAGCCTAATTATATCCTAACTGTTTGAAGACAAGGAACTAGACAAGGGAGAGATATGTGGATACCTCCATGTGACTGAAATCCATGAAAGGACATTGCAGAAAGCAGGAAGTCTTCATAGTCATAAGGAATTCCAATCCTCAACACTCTAAAGTGAAGTCACACGTTTCACAGTTCCCTTCTGAGCATAAAATGGCCAAGTGAAGACAGACCATTCCCTAAGCCATTCTCTCTTTGAAATCTATTTAAATAAACAGCTACACAATGGGCATTCAGATTTCTGTTTGGTCACACTTACCAGCTGACTGGCCACGATTGGTGACGTCATGATCACTGTCTCCCTGTTCACTGTCTCCATGGCCACTGTCTTTAGAGCTTACAATGTCAGCTTCCTGGAATGCAGAACTAGAAACACAAAAAGGAGAATGTTAGAATTTTAAAAAAAGAAGAAGAAGAAGAAATGTGAAGAAACACAGAAAACATTCTTCTGCCACCACATGGTCACAGGTGTGTGCTGCAGACTCTTGAAATTCTTATGCACCTCTAGTTCCACATGAACCTCATTTTTTTCCACTTTAAATCCTGGCGCCTTCACAGTCCACTGGGACATCCAACATGTGAAGTTTGGACATTATTCTATGACTGGAGCCAAGTACACGCCTATGACACATTCGTAATATATATGTGGAAAAGTCATGGAAATTGGTAAATATTTTATAATTTTTTATAAACAAAAAACATTTTATAGCCCACAGTCTACAGATGAATAAATTATATACAGTGCTTATGCTATGCTCTAGCTTAAAGCATTTATGCATTTTGTCTTTTAATATGAAACAACACACCTACTTCTTACTTTTACTAGGTAGGAAACTGTTCACACACCAAGCTGAGGCTTTCAAAGAGTTCATACCTGTTAACTCGGCGAGGTCTGTCAACTAGATAGCTGAGCTCTGCTCGCTGGTGTTTGTTCTAGGAAAGAAAATAAATAAATAAAGAGCACTAAAATTCAGGGGGTGCAATGGCCATTTTGCTTTTGAGAATGAGAACTATATTAGGTTTAAGCACTGGTATATATTTTAATCAGTGTGCAGACCTTCGTAAGAGCACAGTCTGGTGATTGCTGAGTAGGAGCAGGAGAAATGTGTAGAGACATTTGAATCTAGATTTTTTCTTTTTTAAATTCAGGTGTAAAGGCTTCAAAAAAGAAAACTCTCTGGCCCACAGTGAATGTATCTTACTGTAAAGGGAGAAAGCAAACAACCTCATAGCTAGGCTTAATATACTGTTGTGTCTACCACAGAACAACCCTAATTGAATTCTGTGTCTTGTCCTTCCACAGGCTACAGAGTGTTTAAGTGCATACTGATGGACACAAGAAAAACAGCACGCTCAATAATCAAAAGTTTGGATAATTTCTCGAATTATTTTGTTGTTTATTTTCAAGAGGTACTTAGGATACAAATGAGCTGTACAAATATTCGTGAAAGTCAATGAGTTATATCTGAGACTCAAAATAAGGAGATGCCAAGAAAGACTGTCAAAATCCTGCCCCCACTTTCCCCTCAGGAAGCCCCCTGCAAGCACCGCACAGCCCACAGACCTCAGTCCAACTTTGCTTTACATGGTTCTCCCCACTCCCCACCCTCCAACTTTGCCACTATGCCTCTACCTTTTAAAAAGGAATTGGAATTGACAAGCCAAATTCTTTGATGAAGAAAGCCAACAGTGAGCGTTTCCTCAAGAACACAGTGGCAAGGAGGTAATTATTACTGAAACCATATATTTAAGACAATTGTTCAAGCTTTCAGTTGGTTTACTCTTACAGGGTTTGGTGCCAAAGGAACTTCATTCAAATTCACACTGTGTGGGCATTCGGCTTCAAGAGCTTGTGTTAAAGCTGTCCAGAGCAGAACTGAAGGTTTATTCCCCCCACAGAGAAGTAACTGGTCACTAACAAATGCAATTCAATTTAGGTAGTGATATAAATTTAAACAATCTATAGCTCACTTGTACAGGCGACTGAAAGCAGCGATAAACAAACCAAAATTGAACCAACTTTATTAATGCCTGGAACAGATGCAAAGAGAAAAAGACTTTTGTCAGTGATAGGAAGCCCCTCCCCCACCCTGCTTTCTCTCTTCAGGCTTTTTCTTCTTGTGTCCCCCAAGTTTCAAAGAAGGCAGGATCCTAAATAGGCGAGAGGGAGGAGGAAGCTAAGAGGTGTCAAAGAAGCAAAGGGGGAGGGAACGAAAATAAAAGCAAAGGGGTGGAGCACAGTCTGGAACAACGCGGAAGTTAGGTTACACTTCACTAGGTGAGAAAAGGTGACCCCCATATCCTCGCCTTCCCACAGCCATACAAACCAGCTAACACCCTAAATATACACAGTGCACCAGAAGAGATACAGGGCCGGGCTAGAGGAGGCTTTCTGATGGAGGAGATGAGAGATGGTGGTTCTTTCGCTTCAGCCTTACCTCGTTGGACAAAATGCTTCCGTTGGAAATGATGTCTGGTTGTTGGTCGCTGTACCCAGTGACGATGGCTCCACAGGGGTTGTGCTCAGCATCTGTACTCCGGGAAGGGCTGCAGGGCTTCAGGAACATCAAGTCGGTCTTGGCGGACTCCGGGGTGAGGCAGACCTGATAGCAATAGTTCTGGTTGTGGTGATGGGAACCGAAGCTCCCGGACTCCTCCACCGGCACCTGGGCCGGGTTGCTGGGGACATTGGCGCTCTGCACCAACATGATATCTGACTTGCTGAGTTTCTTCTTGCGCGCCCTGGCTTGGCGGCCGCAGCAGGTGGAACCCCCACTGCCACAGCAGCAGCAGCAGAGGCAGCAATCACTCGCTAGACAGGTGTAGATGTTGAGTTTTTTCTCCTTTTGACAGCGCACGGCCAACACGATCATGGCCAGCAGGAAAATGAAGGACACTGAGCCCAGGGCTATGATGAGGATCAGTGTGAGGTCCAGTGAAGTTTCCCCGCCGCCAGAGCGGCTGGTGCGCTGGTGTTCCCCGGGCCCTCCGCCTCCGCCCCCTCCCCCGCCCTGGGGCTCCACGGCTCCATCTACCAGCTGAACAACCAGGGTGGCTGTGGAGGACAGGGGTGGTTGCCCATGGTCGCGCACCTCAATCACCAGCTCGTAAGGCCGCTGGGGGTCGCGCTTGGCTGGGACCCTGCGCGCAGTGCGGAGCTCTCCGGTGCGCCAGTCCAGGCGGAATAGGTTCATTTCATTGCCCCGCACGATGCTGTAGGTGAGCCTAGCGTTCTCGCCGTCGTCCGCGTCCACTGCGGCTACGCGAGTAAGCAGGTAACCCGGCTCTGCAGAGCGGGGCAGCACCTCGCGGGCTGGAGTCCCGTTGCGCCCCGGGAGGGGTGCCACGATGGCGGGGGCGTTGTCGTTCTGATCTACAATCAGGATGTTGACTGTGGCGTTGCCTGCCAGCGCCTGGGGGCTGCCCGCGTCCCGGGCTTCCACTTGAAAGCTGAAGTCCTTGATCTGCTCATAGTCGAAGGATCTCAGGGCGTATAAGTAGCCGTTGTCCGAGTTGATGGACACGTAGGTGAAGACGCTCATGCCCTGGATCTGGCACTCGAGGATAGAATAGGTTAATTTGGCATTAGCCCCTTCGTCGCGGTCCGTGGCGCTCACCGCGTAAATGTAGGCACCCGGCACGTTGTTTTCTGTCACATACACGTCGTAGACCGGCTGGCTGAAGCGCGGCGCGTTATCGTTCACATCCGACACTTGAACCTGTATCGACTTACTGGTGGAGAGTGCTGGTTCGCCCCGGTCGCGGGCCACGACTGTCAGGGTGTAGGAGTCCCCAGCCTCTCGGTCCAATGGGGCTTCGGTGACGATAGTGTAGTAATTCTTGAAGGAAGACTTGAGGCGGAACGGCACGTCTCCCAGCAGCTCGCACTGCACCTGCCCGTTTTCCTCTGAGTCCCGATCGGTCACGCTGAATAGAGCCACCACCGTGCCAGGGGCCGCACCCTCGCTCACCGCCTCTTTCACCGTGCTGAAGCTGATCTCTGGTGCGTTGTCGTTGGCATCCAGCACTCTGACCAGCACCTTGCAGTGTGCAGGCACAGCGTTGGGACCCAAGTCCTTGGCTTGGACATACACCTGGTACACTGGGCTCTCTTCATAGTCCAGCTCTCCGCTCACCTCTAGCCGGCCGGTGCGAGGCGACAGTCCGAAGAGCTCTCGAGCCCTGGGAGAAATGTGACTGCTGAATGAGTACACGACCTCGCCATTCTGGCCTTCATCCGGGTCGGTGGCGTTGAGTTGGATCACTAGGGTGCCAGGGGGTGAATTCTCTGGTAGGGAAACAGTGTAGACGGGTTGGTCGAACGCGGGCACATTGTCGTTGGAGTCGAGCACTCGGATGGTGAGCAAGGCCGTGCCAGTGCGCTGCTGTTGGGGGGGCAGGCCAACTCCCCCACCGCCTCCCCCTCCTTCCCCTCCTCCTCCCCCTCCTCCCCCGTCCACCGCGGTCAGCACGTAGCGGTGCACCGCTTGCTGTTCTCGGTCCAGTGGCTTCTCCAGCACCAGCTCGGCGAATCGGTTGCCATCTCCCTGGGTCTGCACGTCTAGCGAGAAGTAACTATTCGGGGTTATCTCATAGTCTCTCAATGAGTTGGTCCCCACGTCTGGGTCGAAGGCGCTCTCCAAGGGAAAGCGGGTGCCTGGCGTGGCGCTCTCCGAGATCTCCACTGTCAGGTCCGGCTCCGGGAAGGAGGGAGGGTTGTCATTGATGTCCAGCACTTCGATCTCCACTCGGAACAGCTCCAGCGGATTCTCCAGGAAGACCTCCAGGTGCAGGACACAAGAGGGACTCTGCTTGCAGATCTGCTCGCGGTCGATCTTTTCGTTTACGTACAGAACCCCGGTCTCCAGATTGAGGTCCAAGTAAGGGGTCCGTGAGTTGGCCACAGTCTGAAACCTGCGAGCTGAAAGTTTTGTAATGTCCAAGCCCAGATCTTCGGCGATATTCCCCACGAAAGTGCCATGTTCCTGCTCCTCCTGCACTGTGTAATGAAGCTGGGAAAAGACTCCGTCCACCATCCAGAGCAAGGCAAAGAATAACAGCACAATCATCTCCAAAAGGAAAGGAAGCCGCTCCCCCGTAGCCAGCCAGCCACCCGATTACCTCCCTAACCACCAAAAAATAATAATCTCAAATATATAAATTAAATAGTATGCTACGAGGGGGGGGGCTTTTGTGGCTGTCTTAAAATTGTTATTCCTTTCCCTACATTTTAGAGCTTCTCCAAATCCAGCCTCATTTTTCAGTCTTAACGCAGGAAGGGTGACAGATGTCCCCTCTGCTCAGATGTAGTCTTCCCACTGACCAATTAATAAAATAACGAGAATGCAATAGTCAGCCTCCTTTATTCCGACAGTCTTGGCGCAACGCGGCGCTGGCAAATCCCAAGGAGGAAATTTCGATATTTCAAGACTGTCCTAGGTTTGTCTTCTTTCTGATAGGAGGAGAACGTGGAGGAGGAAGAAGAGGAGGAGGAAGATGAAGAGGAAGAGAAGGAAGAGGAGATGCTGCCGGCACCACTGAGCATGCCTCTTGATGTCAATGGCTTGCAAACGCGAGCGGACTTAAAGACAGCGAGAGAATTTTGAGCCGGAGAAACACCGAGCCGTTCTGGTGCATAAAACTTTCATTCTCTTCCTTTCTCCGGATGGACGTTCCTCTTGACATTTCCTCCCCTCCTCGGCTCTATTTGCAATTCTTGGCTTTCATAGTCTTCTTGTCTGTGTCCTCAATCCAACCGTCCCTTGCTTTGCTGTAAACACAGCGAGCGGTTTCTTTTCTGCTGTTTCCTTCCCGAGCCTTTCCCCTCTAACCTGCCTCTTTTCCTTTCAGTCCATCCTGCCTCCTGCTTCAGCCTTAAAGCCTGTGTTCTCGGCTGGCAGTTTCTGAGCTCCGAGCGCTCCGCTTCTCTGTTTTTGCGCAGCGCCCTCATTCTGCCAACCAATCGCAGAGGAGCACCACCCACTGAGCGACTACTCATTGGCGAGAGTGGCCGTCAAGTAGACACGTCACGCGGCAGCCAGGAGGGGCGGGGCAGAACTCGCCTTGGTTGCCCGAGTGAGTGTGAGTGTGAGAGCGAGAACAGCCCGCAGGTCCCGAGGCGCTTGCTGGGGACTCTGCCGCGGAAAGTTCCCAGTCCCCAGCCGCAGGTAATGGGTAGGGAATAAGAGAGGTTCCCCTGTTTGCATCAGCAAATACGAAAACATGATAGCAACAGCTGCGGTAGCCTCTCCAAGGAGCGGGGTTTCCAGTGACGCTAACATTCCTTTTCCTTTAAGGTGTTTTCCCTGCTGCTGGTCGTGGAAAGAAATCACCAAGAAGGGGGGAAAGTTGCCTTGGGGCCATAGTCATCAGGGTTTGCCTAATGAAGGGACTCTGGCTGAGATGCGCGCGGACAATTTAAATGCGGACATAAAATGGCATGTGTCAATCAGAGCAGGAGGCTCCGTAGGGGGTGTGTGGGGAGGGTAGAAGAGGCTGAAATGGGAGGGCGGAGGTGAATTCCCCTATAAAGCGGAGGGATTCAAACCGTGGGACGTGGGGTGACAGCTTCTGTAGACGGGTAGATGATTGGACGTCTGCCCACCTAAAGTCTAACCACAAATTGCTTACCTGGTAGGTTAACTCGTTTGGGGACATTGTTTCGAACTGTGAAGACCCTAGTCAAGGACTGGGGTCTTGGTGGTAGCTTTTACATAGGAGCCCGCCATCGTCAGCCCCTACTATAAAGCACCAGTTCCAGCACCACCCATTGCTGCGAGGCGCTTGCAATATCCCTGCGCCTCGCCTGGCCTCGCGCCAGGCAGCGGTGGGGAGCGCGGGCTTTTATTTTATTTGTCTGATTTTATTTTATTTTTTTAAATTTCTCTTACAGTTGACAGTCCATCCCTATCTCCATACTAAAGGGGGTGGGGAGGGTCCATGTCCAGTCTGGGAACAGCTCTCTGGAGAATGACCCTGGGGTGGACGCTAGGGCGGGAGGGGCGGTGAGCCGCGCGGTGCACACGAACAGGAGCATCGAGTGTGCACCGCTGCGGGAATCCACAGACATGTTTCACAATCCTGGTGCTGGCCTTGGTCCGCGGTGACCTCAAGCTCAGCTCGGTGCAAGTCCCCGGGGAGCAGCCCCAGGATTCTGAGCGACGCGCTTGACTAGCCGCGGGTGCCCACTCGCGAGGTGCATCCACACACCCAGTTCTCGTGAAGTTATAAGGCGGCGCAAACGAACTCTGGGTTGCTGGGTGCGGGAGAGTGAGTTTAATGCCCATTCTCCAAGGATAAATGTGGAAGTGTACGCTTTAATACTAATCAACGGGCTTTCACACGGAATAGGTTGTTTATTTTCTTGATCGGGCCTCTTAAGTCAAAAACTGGACCCTGGAGGCTTTCTGGTAATGAACGACCCAAGAGTAACGCCACTGGAACCTGAGGGAAGGTTTCTTGTCCACCTCCTAAGGTGCTTTTACAGTGCCTTCGGGCAAGGAAATAGGAGGTGCGCGTCCCCATGCGTGACTGACACCGAGGCATGCTTCGAGCAGTCCTGAGAGTCCGTGTTTAACGGCCGGTTTCCCTAGTCCTAGCTGCTCTTGCTGAGAGATGGGTCTACCTTTAAGCGGGTAGCTGGAAAAGGAGCCACCAAACATGGCTAAGCCTTTTCCAGCTGCAGTGAATTGACCATCCGCCAAACCCAAGCTCAAACCGCTGCAGTTTAAAATGATTTTAGCGTCACATCTGCGGCGGAGAACGGAGCGGCAGAGCAGAAAAAGGACCTGTGGATCAATGAAAAGGGGCTCGTAGTGTATCCGAATATTAATACACTGTGGCCATCTGTGCTTCCCGCCCCTCCTCCTTCCTTCAGATCTAAGGCGTTAAAATGTAATTTTTCTAGCTCCCCAAGCTGACTCATCAGAAACCTACAGCCCTGTAAAAATAAGAAGGAGATAAAATAAAACACGACGGCAATGTTTTAATATGTTTATTGGTACTTGGGGAACACTTGTGTGTGTGCATGTTTACGTGTGAGAGACGTGCTGCGGAATGACAGTGCAGAAGCAAATGTGTCGGGGGGAGAGGGCTTACTTCTCAGGAAGGAGCTTGAAGTTTGAGCTGACTTAGGGCGTTTGCAGAAAGCCAGCGATCTTCCCGAGGTGGGGATGAGAACGTGGAGAGATGGCCAGATTTCCCTGTAAATAATCAGTGCACCCACCGTAACACTTGAGCCGCTTTTTTTTTTTTTCTTTTTCTTTTGGTGGCAGCTGTGTCTGAATGGAGACCTTCTCCAGAAACGTGGGTTACAGGCGTCTCCTAGCGGCGAAAGCGGCATAATGCAAGCGAGATAATTCTGTTAGTGGAGCCCGCCTTCTCTTCGGAAGGGCTTGCCTGTTGGGGGCTCTGCTGGATTTCACAAGTCACAGAGGCTGGAGTCCAAGCCAACAATGCAAAGCCAGGCTCCTCCACAGGTCTGGCCTCTTTGGCTTTTAGTCTCTGAGGTGCCAGCACCTGGACCAAAGGGGGTGACAATAGAGTCTTCGTAGTCAAATAAAAACGATCCAGGCCCTCTGCTTTCCCCGAGAAATACATCCAAGGAAGATTGCAAGAACAGTTTGTTCGCATCCAACATTTGCAGGTGGGCATTGTAGTAAAGTCTTTAAAAGAAAGAGATCCTGTGGTTTTGAACTCAAAAGTAGTACTTAAAATTGTCTTTTCAAAGCTGCCTTTTGAGCCTAACATGTATGCTTTCTGTCTTAGTTATTAAGCAGATACCTTCCCCCTCTATCTCTCATAATCTTATCCCCCACCCTAGTTTGTCTCTGTATTTAGTGAAGTCACAGCTATAGACATAGCAGTCAGGGAGAGGAGGTGGCTTCTTTGAAGTACGGAGCAGTGAGTGTTCTTTGTCCCTGAACTCTGCTTTACCGACATACTGTGGGAGAAGCTAATGTGTGCATGTAATCTTGCAATCTTCCTCTCTTGGCCTCTGCACCCAAGCAGCGCCTGCTCTTTGTGCCACACCAAACTGCATGCCAGGGCTGAACGGAGTGTTTAAATAATCATTTGGAAGGAGAATATAAAAATCAATTTTCATGAAATTCTTGGTTTATTTATGAATAGGGTAATGCATTACATATATAATTTCTGCCAAAAAGAGGCAGAAATAAAAGTGCACCAAGAGCATGGTAACTCAATAATAGGATTGCCTTTTTCTCTTCTACCTCTTGCTGGAGAGGGCGGGAGAGACAGATCTGTTAACTAGCTTTTAGATAAATGAGTGTTTGCTGTGATTCAATGTGACTCCAAAGCAATCGGTTCTAAAATCCTCTTATTACTGCACTGGGCTCAGAACATTGAGGGAAAAATCTGAAGTTTTGTCATTTTGTAAAATTTGGAAGGAATAGTTTTAAATGCATCAATAAGGATGGTTTCCAATGCCAAGTAACACCAGGATTGAGCTGGATGCTTCCCTGCATGTGCCACTCCTAAGATGGCCAATCCAGAGGATAAATGCCAAGGGCCTGGCACGGTTGCACATTGTAGAGATATCCAAGAAATAGGTTCTTATGCACTAGCTCTACACAACTTAAGGGGAGGGCAAGAAGTCCTCAGAGCTGAGCTCACAAACACAATACTACCTCCATTGCCTTGTAGCAAAGGGTGGGTGTGTATCAGAGTTTTGGGAAAGATTTTTACTGTATTTTACTAAACTTATTTAAGTGACTAGTAACTGTGGAAGGCTTTGAACACAACAGAAAACCAATCAGTTAGTCCTTATTCTTCGGACTAGGAATGCCAGATATTCCTCTAAGTTCTACTCTCCTGATATTCAAAGCAGAAATGTACGTCTACACTTTGTTTAACCTAGTAAATATTGGTTGGCTTCACACTGCAGCATCTTTCCATTCATCCAATGAGGCCACTATTTTGTTAAACGCTAAACAGTGAATTAAAAGCACTGGATGGGCCGAAGCAGGCCTCTAATGTAAAATGACAAATTGCACTTAAGCAATACATGAGCAAGAAAATGATTTATGGATTTTTACAATGGTCTGAGCAAATGAAAGCAACATGAATTATACATTCTAATGCTCTAGATATCATTTTCTAATAATACCTTTTCAGTTCAGATACTATACCCTCTTTACTATAAGAGAAATTGATCAGGGGTATTTTTAAATTAGGCAATAGCTTTTGATAGTGGTGCCAAATATATAGAGGTGTATAATTTCCCTTGGTTTGGGGATGGGGAGTCAGGAACACCAAACAAGCATTTTTTTTTCAGGTCCTTACACATTGTTTTTAGAACAGCCTTTTGAACACTAATACTGTCCCACCATCTTCTCAAGGCAAGGCAAAAGCTCTGACATAGAATTGCCACCTGACCCTTACTGAAAAATCAGAATCACTCACCCCTTTCCCTCATTGTACTGAATATCAAAGAGTCTGATTTCTAAATGTCTCTTGGCCTCTCTGTGTCCTTTTTATCCTATCTTTTTTATGCTAGAAAAACTGTGTTTGGAGATTCATGTAAATTAAGGAAATGTTCATACAGCTTAGCCTCTCTCTCTCTCTCTCTCTTTCTCTCTCTCTCTCTCTCTCTCTCTCTCTCTCTCTCTGGTGTGTGTGTGTGTGTGTGTGTGTGTGTGTTGGGAGAACTCTATGAACAAAACGCATTTCATGAAGTGCTTCAAATTCCCTTAAGAATCAGATAAACTTTTACATGGTACTAGCATTTTGAGAATGCTTAGTGACATCGAAGTTGTGATGAGAATTAGCTGCAGCACTTTCATTAAGCCGTTTGTAACTTTAGAGTGTGTCTTTCTTGGTGCTGTATATTGCCAGTGAAATAACCTCTGCTGGGCTGCATATTAAACCAAAGGCAACTGCTAATCACCCAGAGGCCTCTCAAGTCATATTACTAAGCGTCATCTTAATTATCTAGTATCATTAAAAAAGAAGAAAGAAAGAAAGAAAAAGAAAAAAAACTTAAAAAAAAACACCGAATCCCAATTTCTGCCTTTGACAACATTAATAACCACTCTTACTAACAGATTACTGAAATCAATGGTGTGATTAGGATTGTAAATAAAAGCTCCAAGACATCAGATTTTAAAAGCCATCTGCTCCACTAGCAGGGAGATGTGTAGATTTTACT